TGTAACTAGGGAGGGGGAGGGAAGGAGCCAGGCAGAGAACAGCCTCATTAATATTTCAGAGGCGCTGTCACTGCAGCTCTTGGTCCCTCACAGCCCCACCACTTGTGCTGCTGGAGGGAGGAGGATGGGAAAAGAGAAGGAAATAAAATGGAGAAAACAGATTTAAAGGGACAGGCTTCTCCCCACGCCCCCATTCCTGGTACAATCTGTGCACACGCCAAGTGGCGCTCAAGCCAGGAACAGCTTTGGGCAAAAACAATAACAACAGCAAAGGGTCAGTGCCATCATGGTACCCTCACCCCACTCACACATTTGCCCACCTACCAGAAGCTCTGCCCCCACAGAATAGCACCTGGTACTGGTAGCACCTGGCACTGGCTCACACAGCTACAGGGACCATGCCCATCCAGCAGAAAGACACAGATGCACAGATTCCAGGTACTAGAAGTCTCTGCTGATAAAGATTCAGCCAAGGAGGATTCTGGACCCTAGAGAACCCCAAGTTTAGAATCCTGGGAGTGTCAGGGTGACATTATCCAATTCCACCCCTGCCTCCAGGTGAGCAAGCTAATTGATGGCCAAGCACTTAAGACTTATCTAGAGCAGCTGAAGCCAACCCTGTATGGCCCCTTCCCCACTTGGAGAACTTGGGGAAAAAGTGCAGTCCTGGGCCCAAAGCTGCCCACCCTGAAACGGTGGGAGCAGGACCTTGGTCAAGCTCCTCATCCCCCAGGCCCAGCCAAATTTGATACTGCTTTCAGCGGCTCTGGGAGGGTTCACTATTCGCCATTTAAACAAGCCCCACTATAGAATGTTACCTGGTGCAGCCACTCTGCAAAACAGCGTAGTGGATCCTGGAAAGTCAAAGATGGACTTACCATAGGATTCAGTGATTCTACGCCCCCTAAAAGAACTAAAACCTGTTACTCAAATGGATGCTTGTACAGCCATAATCACCACAACATCATTCACAACAGCCCAAAGGAAGAAACAGCCCAATGTCTAGAAGTGGGTGAATGGACAAGTAGGCTGTGCCTATCCACACAAACGAGGATCACTTAGAGAATTCCAACATGCTACAGTGCCATGACCTTTGAGGTCATGATGCTTACTTAGTGAAATAAGCCAAGTGCACAAGGACAAATGCTGCATGACTCCGCTTCTAGGAGGTCCCTAGAGGAGTCAGATCCTTACCCAGTAGGTGGTGGGTGCAAGGTGCTGGGGAGAATCAGGATATAGTGTTTGGTAGGGACAGAGTTTCATTTGGGAGCTTACAGAAATTGATGGCACCGGTGGTTTGGAGACTAGTGAGAATCTGCTTAATGCCTCTGGTTTGTCTGCTTAAATGGAGAAGATAGTACACTTTGAGTTACATGGATTTTACTACCCCCCCCCCCCACACACACACATCAATAAGCTCCACCAGCCTTTGTGCTCTGTGTCCTGGGTGGTGGACACTGGGCTTGGATGGTCTTAACAGGACAAATCAGACATCCATGCTGTCATGGGCATTTGGTCTTTCAAGAAAAAACCCTACTGTAAATTTAAACCTAAGCAGATCCTTCTGGGGGTGTTCTACCTATACCCTACAACCTCTGTGACTTCCAATGCTGCCACCTACATCCTGCCTTGGTATAGTGGGCACCCAGTTAGGTGACATAGGAACAGAACAGTTGACTGGCTACCATTGCTACCATTCTGTCCCTCCTACTTGGACCATGTTCTTTCTCATTCTCTAGGAATGGGCTGCTAGGAAATCAACCCAAAGCATCAAACATGCTAGGCAAGTGCCTACCTTGAGTCACTTCCCCTCCTACTTGGAAATAGCAAGGGGCGGGAATGGGCTCCCTCTCTTGCTTTGTTGGTAAGCATTTTCTTCCAGACAGCAAGCCCATTTCATCCTCAGTAGGGATGGTCAGCTCACGTGGGAGTGACCCCATGACAGGTGAGTTCCTTTTAACGAACTATGGCTTTGGGAGGTACTAATGAGCCTCCAGGAGATTCAGGTACACTAGACCATATTTCAGCTGAAATATGCTCACCTAGTTATTCTTCCAACTATGTTCTGGCCAATTTGATGTGAAAAAAATGATCCGTGCAACTTCAGGGTTGTGACTTTCGAGGGAAGGAACGTGGTCTTCCCCGCTCTCTTTGTAAAACTAATGGTGTGAAGAGAGGAGACACAACCGCTCTCTCATGCCATCTTGCACGGGGAATCCATGTGCAGCACAGTGAAAGCAGCGTATATCCCTGAGGACGAAGTAGCCACCATCCCAGCCTTAGGTGCTTACCTAGACTTTCATGTGAGAAAGAAATGCACTTCACTCTTGTTGAAGTCACTGTTGGGCTGAATCTCCATTAAAGAGGCCGCCCCCAGAGCCTGAGGAAGTCAGATGGATTTGGGGATCTGGCACTCCATGCTCAATCTACCCCTGGTCCAGGAAGCCCCAAAGGACTCCCTGAAGTCTTCAGGACTCTCAAAATTCCTCTCTCCGATGGCTTCCTTAGTACATGTGACCACACGAAGCCAGGCTCCTTCTCATTTTCCCACTTGTGTCATTTGACATTGTCCTAGAAGTCCTATGAAAGCAGCAGGAGAAAGGAGAACCGTAACAAAAGAGAATGACAGTCCTATCACAGCAGCACAGCAATCAGGCTGAGCTGGACACCTCTGCAGGGCTTTGTGAGAACTGCCATATTTGTTCTATGCTGTCAGCTTCTATGATAAGGGATAATTATGCCCATGACAGAACAGAAGCACCTGAGACACAGAGAGGTTAAGAGGACTACTCAAGGCTGCACAGCCAGCAAGAAACAGAGGTGAATGTAAATTCAAGTGGTTTGGCTCCAGAGGACACTAAATGGTTACCCTACCGAGAGTAACTGCCCCAGAAAGAAATGAACACCCAAATAGAAACAATAAAAAGGATTAATCAAGTGACTGGATGGGAAATCTGCCCAGTGCTGGTACTAGAATCAGAGTCACTCAACATCTCTGGGGCTTCACTTTTCATTATCTGCAGAACCAGTCCTTTCCCTTCCTCACTAGGTGGATGTGGGCACTGGGCAGGGACTAGGAGGCTGGACATCTCACCACCGGACCAGGAAGGGAGCCATGACAGTGCTGTTTGTTGAGTCTGTTGTTTCTGCCCCATTTGTCCTTGAGGGTCACACCAGGTGATCCCAGAAGTCATAGGTCAGGACTCGGAAAACATTCTGCTTGATCAGAGTAGGGCTCAGGTGCCCACCAGGTTGTTCTCGCATTTTCCAGGCCATCCTTAAGCCTTCATGGGTCCCACATCACTCTGGAGTCCCTAGGACCATTTCTTGGGCCAAGTCACTACTCTCACCCAGGTAGACCTCATGGTGTTGGGGAGCCCTTGGCCCCGCAGGCAAGTTGGAAGACCCTCTCTGGGCTGGGGCCTTGAAGGATTGTTGCTGGGGTCCTGACTGCATGTGAAAGGAGGGGACACTCATTTGTTTCCTGTTAGAGAAGGCAGAAGCTGCAAAAGAAGAGAGTGAGGGAGCAGGAGCTGGAGAAGCCGATGGGCAGGAAGTGTAATGACACTAATTATCCAATTAGAGCGAGCTGTGCGGGCAGAGCCTGCACTGCAGCAGGAGCTGAGCCAGCCCCGAGCCCTGCCTCCATACACCATCTGTACATGCTGCCCCATGCCCCTGCTGACCCAATGCCAGAGAGGTGGCTGGGCAGGCCTGAGGTCTTAGGAGAGGCAGGGGGACTCCATCTCCCCAAACACTATGGCTAACCTCTAATAAAGACATGAGCACGAGGAGGGTCCCATGTCAGAGGTCTGACGGGTAGCTGGGGTTCCAAGCCTTCAGCCTGCAATAGACAATGCATGGCTAGAATGAGGGACGCTCAATCTCCCCAGCTCTGTCCAGGGTAATGCCGTGTCTGTCCTTGCCAGCCTCCAATCCCAGAGCCAGCTCCAAGGACTGGAAATAGCCAAGGCCTAAACAGGTAATTAAGGAAATTACAGACAGCTGGAGGCCGTGAGGGCCACAAGCTGGGGCTGAGTCCTTCCAGCCAGGACAGACAGTGAGCAGATAAGGAGACTCTCAGGCCATGTGCACCCCTGGTGAACAGGCCCTATGGGTGGGGGGTTGCTTCTGGGAACAGGCTCAAGTCTTAGGAGAACATATTGCGGTCGTGATCAGGAGCCACTCACGGGTCTCCAATTGCCTGCAAAATAGCTTCTGTGGGTCCCTTTTGTGACATAGTTTTCATCCAGAGAACCAAGCCAATGTGGAGACTAAGACCATTACATATGGGGATTGAGAGCACAAGGGACAGGGATCTAGAAGCTCCCTTTCTTGGCGCCAGGCTACAGTGAGCTCTTAGAAAAGACCTTGACGGTGGTATTCTTGGGATGCAGAAGGAAAGGATACTTAAGGAGACAGGAAGGACCAGTTCAGACTGAGGATGGCAATCATCCTCACTGCCCTTCTATGACCCAGCACAGCAGAATGTTGGTGCCACTCCTCCAGGCTGACAGGCCGGATGCTCAGTCCTGCCAAGGGCAGTGACGGAGGAAGAGCCGATAGCCAACAATGACCCCAAGAAATGCCACCTCGGAAGCTACTGCCCAGCATCCTCGACAACCCCAGGCAGCTATGACGTCAGGACCCAAAGTTCACCAAGGGTCTGGCTGCTATCCAAATCACATGGACAGAGCTTTGTATTTCAAAGACCAGCAGGGCCAGGGCATGCCTGGAGATAGTGAGGGTCCTACTGAGGCAGGAAGGCCTCTTCACATCAGGACACATCAATCACACCAATATGAACCTCCAAGTAAGTATTCCTCCTCGGTGTGCCTCAGAGCCCTTGAGGAGCCTGGCCCCTCCCTTGGGTTCCCCCTGCCTGCCCCCACGTGCTCACAGATGCCCATTGAGGCTGACAGCTGGGAGAGGAGCTGACAGTGGGAAGGTTGGAGAGAGGGTGGTGGAAAATGAAGACGGGCACACTGGAGGGACTTGTGCTACTCCTCCCCGGCTGTCAGCCAGGCCCCACCTTTGATGGCAATGCCGAGGTACTGCATCACTGTCCAGGGCACATGGGACAGCTGGTGGCCCATAAGCCCTGCTTCTGCCTGGACCCACCTAACTGCCACCCTGTCCCACCTACAGACAGCCAGATGGGCCTCTGTGGGTGTTGCCAGACTGGCCTTCCAGAGGTTGTGGAGCTGTGGGCAGATGAGCTGCTGGCTTTGAGGGACACTAGATGTGGTGGAAGGCTCACTGAGGACAGACCACCCCCATCCATATCCCTTTCTGGCCTCCTATACAGGCTGTACCCTCTGAAGAGCTCACTTCCTGCTTACAGAGTACTGAGACCCCAGGAATCTAAGAGCTTACATTAACTGCCTCTGGGCCACAGCCATCCCTTCCAAGCCATGCCAGTATGGGATGTGCTTGCTTCTGGATTCTTCCAGGAGGAATGAAGCTGAAGCCATAGGGGGAGTGGAGGTCCCCTGTGCCTGGTGAGGCCCAAGGTGTGACCAAGAGATGGGAGTGGGGGTTAGGCAGATTCTCCGCACTGTGTTCTGAGGGCATGAGCAGTTTCCTAAGGGCTGCACTAAGCGGGAGGAGGAGCCCCTCCCCTATCTGTCATGTTCCATGCCACCACCATGCCCCCTGGCCACCCATCTGTGCAAACACTGCTTCAGCAATGAGCCTGCCACTCCACGTGCCTTATACAACCTGATTCAGGAGTGTGTGAAAATACCAGAGTACAAGGAATTCTGAATGTTGGGGCAGTCCAAGAACTGATCAAGTTCCATTCTCAAGCAAACAAATGTGGTGGATCGTTTTCAAACACCTTCATTCACAGAAAAAAGAAGAGGCCAACATCCTGCCATTTGAGTTTATCCTCAGCTAGAATAGAGAAGACTAGCAGGGACTTATCATCTCACAGCTTCCTCAATACAGCTTTTACTGTTGGTTTTTTTTTCCCTCCAAGACTGGTACTCAAACTCAGTATCTGATGTTTTCACTCATTGGATGGCACTCCACCACCTAAGCCATGCCTCCAATCCTGAGTTTTGCTGTTCTATTTCCTAATAAGGAGGTTCTGTTGTCCTGTGCTGGTTGGTGGCTCACATCTATGGACCTTTGCCCTCAAACACACCTCTTCTTGCACAATCTATGAAAGGCCAACCTATAGCATCTGCAGAGATACAAACACCATCTGACCCCAAATAGAATATGCCCAGAGAATGTATTACCAGGTGCTTGATTTTTTTTGTCAGTCGTGGGGCCTGAACTCTGGGCCTGGGCACTGTCCCTCAGCTCTTCAGCTCAAAGCTAGCACTCTACCACTTGAGCCACAGCGCCACTTCCAGCTTTTTCTGCTTATGTGGTGCTAAGGAATCGAACCCAGGGCGTCATGCATGCAAGGCAAGCACCCTACCACTAAGCCACCTTCCCAGCCCCAGGTGCTTGATTTTTATGGAGGAAGGTGGGCCTGATATAAATTAGCCATGGAATAACTGATTTGATCAAGGAAATGGACAAATAACACACATTCCCTTCGCATCTAGTTCTGAAAACAAATTTCTTTTGTATTAAACAGGGTTCAGCAACTATAGACCCAGGGTCAGATCCAGCAGTCAAGTGTACTTATGAATAAAGCTTTATTGTCACACAGCCACGCCAGTTGATTTATGCATCGATTATGGCTACTTTCACGATTCTATGCAGAGCTGAGTCGTGGGATAGAAACCACGAGGCCTGCAAAGCAAAAAATATTTACCATCTGACCATTTGCAGAAGTTGCTGACCCCTAGACTAATGATTTAAACATCTCCTGGAGTGTGGTGGTATACATCTGTAATACTAGGTACAAGGGAGGTTGAGGCAGGAGGATTAATGCTTCAATTTTTTTTTCCAGAAAAAGTAGTGTGGGCATAGTTCAGCAGTAGAATACTTGCTTAGCATTCTGGAGACCTTGTATTCAATCCTCAGTACCATACAAAAAAGATTCCAGTGGGTGGGGGGGGGCAGAGGGAGGCTGGGAAGGGATGGAAAGGGGAAACAAAGGAGGAGGCTACAATGCTTGATTAAGAAATGTACTCATTATCTTGCCCATGTAATTGTAACCCCTCTGTACAGTATTTTCACAATAAAAAAATAAAAAAAGATTTAAGTATCTTTTTTTTTTGGTCCGTCATGGGGCTTGAACTCTGGGCCTGAGCGCTGTCCCTGAACTCTTCAGCTCAAGGCAAGCGCTCTACCACTTGAGCCACAGTGCCACTTCTGGTTTTCTGGTGGTTTATTGGAGATAAGAGTCCCACTGACTTTTCCTGCCCAGGCTGGCTTTGACCCTCAATCCTCAGATCTCAGCCTCCTGAGTAGCTAGGATTACAGGCGTGAGCCACCAGCACCCAGCTTAAGTATCTTTTTTTGATAAATATTATTTTATATGATTAGAGGCACAGAGGCATTGTGTCTTTGTGTTCCTCCCCTAAGATAAAACATGTTAAAATGGAGAAGGGAGGAAGGGGGAGAGGAAGGGAGGAGAGGAGGAAGGGAGGGTGGGAGTGTTCATATTTCTATAAGAGGTTTTCGTAAGACTGGAAGCAAGGGAAGAAATAAAGAAAATGTGACAAAAAGTGTTTACATTTTGCAAGTAAGGTAGTGAAAAGACAACAAAGAGATTACAATTGTTTTCAACAAATATCTTAAATTGTTGCTATTTTTATGTAGAAAAATTCCTCAAACCCATGAGGAAACCACGAAAAGCTCAGTAAATATTAAGAAGTAACTAAAAAAATAAAGGTACAAAGATATAACAGTGGAAAAATACGCATCCTCAGTAGCAATTAAAGAAACAAACTTGCTATTTTCTGACCTAGATACTTATATAGGTTGTTTGATTATAATATCTACTGCTGGCAAGGTTGCAATTGTGCTCCCGATCATTAAGAAAGCCCTTTTGGAGAACAATTTGGCAGACGACACCTCTGTCTGGGCCCTCTCCTCAGGACAAGAGGAGGATTTTGCACCCACATACTCAGCAGAGCCTCATGCATAAGGGGCAAACAAATCTGGCTGGCTAGATTTCCAAAAATAGCCAAATAATTAAGCGAATTACAATCTCTTGAGAGAATACTATTCAGCCATTAAAAATTGTAATTACTGCGCACTGCCCTGTCAAAGGAGTGAATGATCATTTGGAGTTTTCTTCATTGCATGGCTCAAGATCATTATTTTTTTCCATAAGTACTTACTGCTTTCATAATCTTTAAAAAATTAAACCACAGCCATTTTGAAAAAAAGTTCATTTAGGAAAGGATTAGATTAATAAAGAAAATGCTTATGCGAAGTAAAAAATAGATTACACAATTGAACCCATGGTATAATTACAGTAATGTGAAAATAAATAGGTTAGGCAAAGAAAAGAGAACAGAAGTAAGTCCAATAAAATGGAAACATTGGCTTGTGTTTTGGTGATAGGACTGCAGGTTCTGAGTCCTGGACTTCTCTGTGTTTTATGTTCTCTGTCTCTGTCTCTGTCTCTCTCTCTCTCTCTCTTTCTCTGTATCTCTACTGGGACTTGAAGTCAAGGCTTCATGCTTGGCTTTTTTTGCTCAAGGCTCTATCATCTCCACTTCCTGCTTTTTGCTGGTTAATTGGAGATAAACCATGATTTTCAGAGCTCAGCCTTTTAGCCTCTCAGTAGCTAGGATTACAGGTATGAACCACCGGCATCTGGCTTTGTTTTTACTTATAGTTTTTTTTAAAAATACATTTATTTATTCATAGTTCTGAAGTTTAAACTCATAACCTCATGCTTACTAGGCAGGTGCTTTACCACTTGGATCATGTACCTAACAAAAGCATTATTTTTAAATAGAAAGAAATCTGTAATTTTTAAAAACCCAATGCTCCATCCATATGTGCAAAGCTTTTGGGGCCCCCTCCCTCTGCCATTCTCAAGCCTGACTCTACCTGCCCTCCACTGAGCATGGGCAGGGCATTGAATACATGGCAGGGTCTAATCAGGGCTAGCAGGACAATCAGGGCCAAGGACTTGCCATATCTGGGTTACACTCCAACCTGGATGTATGAGGGCCATGGTGGTGAGCTTGAGGGCAGGCATGGCATCGTTATAGCTGCCCTGGACTATAAGTGTCTGGGCATCTGGCGCAGCTCTTGGGGAGCCCAACTCTGTGCCTGAGGCCTCTGCTCTGGCCCTGTTGGCAAATGCCCCCAGAATCTCCAGGGGTGGGGGCAGGCTGCTCTGGGTGTCCACACCTGCTTCCTTCACTCCTTTTTAGAGATTCATGAGGGAATGGCCTAGGGGATGGCTTCAGGATCAGTGTAAAGATTCAGGTCTACATTTGTTTTAATGTGGCACTGGGGCTGATGGGAATGTTCTCTATATTCACCGTCTGTTGAGGGAAGCAGCAGCCTGTGTGACTACTAAGAAGCCTGGTGTTAGGGCTATCTGTCTGATTGTGGGTTACTGGGCCAGGCGGGCAGGGCAAGGCAGAGCAGGGTAGTGTGAAGGCAGGAGTCTTGGCCATGGGAGATGCTGAGTGGCCTCGACAGTGACTGGAAACCCACGTTCCTAGCCCCAATGAGCCATACACTTGTGTCTCATTGCCACACATTCTTCAGTGAACACTTGGCAAAGGGCAGGGAGGGAAGGAAATGTACTTGCCATTTTCTCTGTGGCGACCATGGATGGAAGCAGACATGAGGCCTGGGACACGAAGAACATGGTTGGAGGATTAGGGATCAGGGTGCCTGAGTGCCTGGCCTGGAGTGCCTGGCATGGCTGTCCTCATTGTGACAATGAGACACATTCATTGGGAGAGGCCACCCACCAAGCCCAGCCTGGTACCTGGCATCCCCAGCTGTCAAGTGCTCAGATGAGAGCCTGGCCAAACAAGGGACGTTTCCTCGAATGTCCATGAGTGCCCAGTACTCCCTGAGGGCCCTGGCTCCCAGGTGATTCTCTATGGGGAGCCTGAGCCTGGCGCCTGGTCAGAGTTAGCCAATATGGCTGTATGCCACAGAGAAGTAATAAACTTGAGGATGGCTTCGAACTCATGTTGGGATTCAGGTCCATGTTGACCCAAAGTACTGTCATGACATGCTACCTTCTAGAGCAGTGTGAAATTCTCTACTTACCCTGTCCAGCACAGTAGCCACCAGCCACAGGTGGTGACTGAATGCTTGAAATGCAGCCAGGGCAACTGAAGAAGGGAATTCATAATTTCACTTTAATGAAATCACCATGTGTGGCCAGTAGCTACCAAATCAGACAATGTAGATCTAGAAGATGTCTCACGACCACAGCCTAATGAAAGGCCTTCTCATTTGCCTGGAATGGTTGCCCATTTATTGACAACACTGGGGACAGAGGAGCAGCAGAAGGTCCAGGACCCCTCTGCATGAGGCTCTGCAAGCACGCTGACAGACACCCCATCCATGCAACTTTCATTTGGACCCAAGTCTTGGGAGACCTCTTGTGCTAGCCCCAAGACTCTTCAAACCTCAGTGTTTCATCCATGCCCTGTGGCTCTGGCCAATGCTTGTATGTACCATGTGACCTTGGACTTGTTCCCCTCGGCACAGTCCCAAATTCTCCTACATGTGAGAACCTCCTTCTCTCTGTCCTGGCGCTGTATGGCTCAGACCCTTCTCCTCAGGCTGCTCCTAGGCCCACTGCCAGTACCGCCCACCCAACAGAAGGTGCCCAGGCAGGGGAGAACTTTCCAGCCGGGCACTATTGGTCTGGCTTCTGCCAGCCCAGCCAGGGCAGAGAAGAGAGGCACAGTGAGGAGCTGGGGAATGACAGGAGACAGTGAGGAGCCATCTGTGCACTATAGGTCTCTGCCCACCAGGCCCAGCCTTGGACAGTGCTCAGGCACTAGCTGCCATCACAGAGATGGCACCGGTGGGGCTCAGGGAAGTACTTAGGTGCCATGGTCTAGTCCTCCATCCATCAGCTACTCCTTTGAGGGATGCCCTGAAGAGGTCACATGGACAGGTCACTGAAGAACAAATCACTTTCCAACCTGCTTTGGGTGGGTAGAGATCACCTTTCTCCCAGAGGGGAGATCTGGATGGAAATGCCAGTTTCTCAGCTTCCGACCCACAGGATCATCCCAAGAACCCCAGCCTCACCCCTGCAGGGTTTGCTGGATGGTCGACACAAGCACACTATGCCTTGTGCCAATTGCAGCAAACACTTGTAGAGATGATATAACAGGTGGTGGGTGCGCAGACCAGACTCAGGAGCCAAGTGGCCTTTGCTCTAGATTTGGTTTTTCACACCCATTGGCTGTGTGACCTTGAGCAAGTTATCCAGTCTCCAGGTCTCAGTCTGGCCGGCTGCAAAATGGTCATAATAGCAAGAGTTTGCTTCATTGAGTGTGCCAATTAAGTGGGATTGGCGTTGTCTGCGAAGCCCAAGGTGACTATCATGATCACTATATCGTTATTGACATTCCTTGATATGCTAGCAACTTCTGATGGAGACAGCAACCATTAGTGCAGACAGCACCCATCAGTGAATTATATGAGCCATCAGTTTAAAATCAGAAGGGAGTTCAAGTATGCTGACAGCTCGCTCAATGAGGGGGTGGGGCACAAATGGCCAGAGGAAGCTGGCTTCAAGAGTTCCAACCAAGCTCAGCTCTCAAAAGTCCTGGGGCTCTTTTCTCCTTTCTCCTAGGGAGCAATGGTTCCCCCCTCTACCAACCATGCTCAGAGGGGCCATTGGAGCCGATTCCCGCACCCCTTGGCTGTCTCTCTGGCTTGGATTTGAGAATGCTCCCTGACTCAGGCCTGGCCTCTTCTGTTTGCTCTGGCTCTCAGGAATGATTCAACCTCTGAAGCTCCAGCTCAGAATCCTGAAATGTCAGTGCCGAGCTGGCTGAGGTGCACCCCCACCCCCACCCCTGGATGAAGGAAAGGACTTGGCCAAGGTCACAAAAACCATCCGGCCTGGAGCTGGCGCTACACTCTGGAGTTTCTATCACTAGAGCCCCAGACAGCTCCCACAAGCCTCCTTTGCCCGTGATTGCCCCTGGGCCCCCCTGTAGCACCTGCTCTCCACACACACCCTCAGACTTGGGGGCTCCCATCCCCAAGGACTGGCTTTCCTTCTGGCTCTGTGCAGAGCCCCTCCCACGCCACCCCATTCCCATCTGCCTGCCTTACCCCCTTCTGTGCCACAGCCTGCTGCCCCTCCACCCAAACCACTTGGCAGTGCTAGGCGTGGATCAGGTAGATCTGATGAAGGCTGCCTGTGCCCTTGGCCCTCCCCCTCCCCCCCTCCATCCAGGCCAGCAGCAGATGATCGATACCTGGGGACCACAAGTGCCTGGCTCCTTCCAACTAGCTGGATCTTCAGAGGCAGACTGTCTTCACCCTGGGCTCCTGGGCTAGGCCTCAGCAGCACCCTGAGCACTCCTCTCCATCCCAGATCCCCTCTCATGAGCCATGTGGCCTTGGTTTCCTTGTCTATGAAGGGCAGGGGGGTGAGGGGGGTGGAGGTTGCAATGGAAATAGCAGCACACACATGTAATTGATGTGAAACTCAGTTGGGGGTCCAGGACCATGCTTGAAACCAGGGGTGTGGGGATGTGGGAGGAGCTCAGGAAGACTGGATTGACATGTGATTGCTGGGATAGCTGCCCGGAACCCCACAGGAGTGGTTCCTACACAGGACAAAAGGGGCCTCCCTCCATTCATGCATGAAATGCACTCCCAAGCCTCCCCTCCACTTGAGGTCTCAATCATTCCATCTGAGAAATGGGGATAAGTAAGTATGAAAGGTCTTGCCCCCCCCCAGGAAATCTGCAGATTTTTACATGTGCCACACCAAAATCAAGTGCCCACTCTGCCGGGCTGTGCAGTTGGAGAGCCACTCCTCGCTTGAAGCAGCTCCCAGTGAAGGGAGGCCGGTGAGTGAAAGGGTTACATGTGACCCACCAGCATGGTGCCCAAGTGCTTGTAGACAGCCAGTGGAGATGGGTCTGGGGACCAGCCAGCCCAGTCAGACTCAACCCTGGGATGGGTAGGGATCCATGTTCCGGCCTCATTTGTGAAAGACAGCAGCCTCACTTACCAGTCTAGCTGTGGAAGAGCTAGGCATTTTATTGAGGCAATTCTGGTCCCTGCCCTGTCCTTGGAGCAGGTGAGCAAGGCAACAAACGCTGAGTGGCCGAGAGGGAGGGGGGCATTTGCACTCTGTCCCCTCAAACCCGCCCGGAGCCAGTCCTTCCGAGTGGTACTGTGCAAGAACTAGGCCCTGATCCTGCCTTCAGTTCCTCCTCAGCCGGCCCAGCTGCTCAGCCCTGCAATGGCCCACGGAAGGGATGAGAGCCAGTCCTAGAGAGAGGAGCGAGGAGCCCGGCTTCCCGGGCTGGGAGCCGGAGACGCCACACTAGTGGCTCTAAATCCCGGAATGGGATATGTGGAGCCATCAGCTGTGAGAACACGGAGCCTTCGGAATCGCCGAGGCCCTCTGGCCAAGGTCACCCAGGTGAAGAGGGGAAGACAGCTGCTGCCAGAGAGATGGAGAAGGAGTGGCCCAAGCATGGCTGGGCCCGCTTGCTGGTGGCATTGCCCATGCTAGCGGCAGGGTCAGCTGGGCAGCTATGTGGGCATGCAGGGGACAGTGTGGGAATGTGTGAGGAGGGGGAAGAGGAGGAGGAGGAGGAGGAAGAGGATGACACAGTGCGAGGGCACCGGAGAGGGGGAGGGGAGGGGGTACCTTGAGGCTCCTGGATGGTGCGTGCGCACCAACCGGACTCCCCAGCCCAGGCCCGGCTCCCCAGGCCATGCCGGCTCCTAGCCCCCGCCCGCAGCCCCCAGCGGCCTTGTTCCCCAGACGCAGATGCGCGTGCGCGCGGAGTGCGGGGCGCAGGGTGCGGGTGAGGGGCGCTGCCCGC